AAGAGCCTCGGGGAGAAGGCAGGATTTTGAGGGGTCACTGCTGGAAGCTAAGCCTAGGGAGGAGGTGTGCTGGACAGTGCCCATTGTTGTGATCCAATGATAAACCTCCACCTGCCAAAACTGTTGGTTAATTGATTGCCCTATCTGTTCATAATCAGGTACATGTACTTCACTAACATGCAAGAACGAGCCCCGAAGATCGAGCGTGCAGCCCTGGATGGCACAGAGAGGGAAGTGCTCTTTACTACTGGGCTGATCCGACCTGTTGCACTAGTAATTGACAACAAGCTTGGGAAACTCTTCTGGGTGGATGCAGATCTCAAACGCATCGAAAGCTGCGATTTGTCAGGTATGTGGTATGCCATCTAAGCCCTTTGAGAAAGGTGTAGGTCGCACATAGATTTATTCTCTAATAAGCTCAACAAGGGCTTCTGTTAGCTCCAGTCATGCCTGTGTTGCAGAGGCAGCTGCAGAAATGATTGATTGCAGACCTTCTCCTTGGCAGTGCCCAAGTGATCAGAGAATGTAAGCCTCTTAAAGGATGAAAATACCATACATGAGTGTTCCATTTTTTCTGAATCTCTAGCTAAAGCTGAGTTTTAAAAACCATACACAGGCTAGGGCAGGGGAATATGTAAGGTAGGTGATTGCAGTAGAGGTAACTTAAAGGGGAATTGCCAGACTTGGAGCTCCCAAAGCATATCCTATTTTTTTTTATTTCAGACCCACAGTCATGCAAATTTATATTTATAATAATAATGCTTGGCTGCTATAGATCTGTTGCTCACAAAGCATGTTACAAAGGTGAATAAATATTATGGACCCCTGTTTTATTGGTGGAGAAAGTAAGCAATAAGGAGGTTAAATTACCTGCTCAGTGTCACTGAGTCACTGGCAGAGCTGGGACTAGCATCTTTGTTTTCTGGCACACTTCAGTGTCATTCACTCCTGATTCCTCCATACATCAGAGAAAGCAGCCTGTGGAAGAGTGATCTCTAGGAAGCTAGAGGCTAAACCATCAATTGGAACAGGAATCCAAGGCAGGGTTCAGAGAGAAGGTGTCACAGAGCCCAGAAGAAGGATGGAAGGTAGGGAGAAGGGGAGCAGTTGTGCAACAGAGCACCCCATAACTGGGAAGAAAATCTCAGGATAAGATTCATATATAGATTGTAAGGCCATCAGGGACCTTGGAAAGATGCAGAATACAGAAATGCATTTGGAAGAGGGACCAGAAATCAGGAGAGGATGTTTAGCTAAGTAGTGGTGGTTTGGGGTTAACATTAGAGGTGCACCAGTATATCAGTCACATATCACACTGGCACCAATAAAAGGAAAATTAACATTATCGGCAGTCGGCCCTTTTTGGCCAGTGTAGCCGATTAATGTTACTGATAAATGCCACATGTACGCACACAGCTGCAGCATGCACACAGCCAGGAATGCAGCTTGGCAGCATGGAGAGTAGCGTCCTGCTGATAAGTCTATGGTGGTGAAGCAGCCTTGGGGACAAATTGAGGCTCCTGTGCTGAGGGAGGGAGTGGGGCAGAGGCAGGCACTGCCCAGCCAGGATAGTGAATGCAACCTTGGAGCCAGGAGCAGAATGGAGTGGGCATCAGCTCATCTGGGCAGTGCAAGGAGTGGGGGCAGCTCCCTGCTGTTGCATGCACCCCAGGGGGAGGCCTGAGGGGTATGTGACCCTTGGGTTTGTGTGCAGGGCAAGGGCTGGCTGCTCTTTGCAGGCTTGGGGCCAGGGGCTGCCCCAGCCTCTTCCCCAAAGAGTGGGGGGAGGGGGGGGCTAGGCTGGGGCTGGGCTCTGAGCGGGCAGGGGCAGGGCAGGCAGTGGCGGTGCTGGGAGAGGTGGCTATGGGGAATTTTGAGGTGGCTATAGTTGATTCCATTGCCATCCCTCCTAGCGCCACCACCGC